GGACGTGGATGAGGAGGAGCAGGAGGAGGAGGAGGAGGAGGAGGAGGAGGAGGAGGAGGAGGACTTGGAAGCTAAGAAGGGGTCCAACGTTCTCGGCCCTTAGCGGGGCTGTCCGGGGACCACTGGAGGCCCGCCCGGGGACCTCTGGACCCAAGGGCAGGATCCGGGGCGGCAGCACAGCTTGCCCCCCCCCCCTACTCTTGCGCCTCCTCCTCCTCCTCCTGCCCCATCCCCACTCATCCCCCTGCGGCGACGACGACGACGACGACGACGACGACGACGACGACGACGGCGGCGACGGCGGCGGCGGCAGCGTCGGACGACGACTGCGTCTTGGGTCACAGCCCGCGGGGGGGGGGTCCACCGCAGGTGTTCGACGTCGCGCTCTTGTTCCCAGCGAGGCCTCCCAGAGGTCTGGACTTCCAGGGGACTGGCATTTCGTGCCGAGTCGTTTCCTGACGGCCCCAGGGCCCCGTGGGGGCCCCAGAGTCTGGAACTGACCCCAAAACCTTCCGCCGTGATTTGTTTGCACGATGAAAGGATGTCGGGCTCCTTTGGTGATCGATCGGAGCGCTCCGGGCATCCCTGGAAAACTTTCGACGAGGCGTAGCTGCTGAAGGCGGCCCGAGGCGGCACAACCGACACAAGAACCCACGAAAACACTCGAAAACCGCCGACGGGATGTTTCTTGTTTCCTCCGCGTCGTGAACGTGAGGAAGGGGGAGGGCGAGGGGGAGCGGAGGAGGGGGAAGGGGGGGAGGAGAGGGAGACGGACGGGGGAGGGCCGAGAAAACGTTGAAGACGAATATGCAGCGCGCGAAATCGAGATCCAAATTGTGGCCCCGCCCCGCCCCCTCCAAATTCCGAACTCCAGGATCACAAACGGTGAGGCTGCCTCAGGCGAATCGCCATGCCCGCCCTACAAACACGTCTGGAGGTGCGACGGGTAGGAGCTATCCGACGGAGGGGGGGAGAGGAAGGAGGAGGAGGAGGAGGAGGAGGAGGAGAGGAGGAGGAGGAGGAGGAGGAGGAGGAGGAGGAGGATGGGGGGAGGGGAGGAAGGGTGTAGAGGAAGAAGAGGAAGGAGGATGCTGATGAGGAGGAGGAGACTTGAGGCGGATTCGCCTCTAGGGAGGAGGGGAGGAGACGGGGGGGGAAAGAAGGGAAGAAAGGGAGAACAGGAGGAATGGGAGGAGCAGGAGGAGGATGAGGAGGAGGAGGGGGAGGAGGAGGATGGAGGAGGAGAGAGGAGGAGGAGAGAGGAGGAGGAGGAGGAGGTGGACGAGGAAGGAGGAGAAGAAAGAGAGAGGAGGACGAGACGAGGAGGAGGAGGAGGAGGAGGGGACGAGGACGAGGAGGAGGAGGACGAGGAGGAGGAGAGAGGAGGAAGAGGACGAAGAGGAGGAGGAGGAGAGAGAGAGGGAGGAGTAAGAGGAGGAGGAGGCGGAGGAGGAGGAGGAGGAGGAGGAGAGGAGGAGGAGGAATAGAGGACGAGGAGGAGGAGGAGGAGGAGGGGAGAAGGAGGAGGAGGAGGAGGAGGAGAGGAGGAGGAGGACGAGGACGAGAGGAGGAGGAGGGGAGAGGACGAGAGGAGGAGGAGAGGAGGAGGAGGAGGAGGAGGAGGAGGAGAGGGAGGGGAAGGGCGGAGGGGGAGGATGAGGACGAGGACGAGGACGAGGATAAGGAGGAGGAGGAGGAGGAGGAGGAGGAGGAGGAGGAGGAGAAGGATGGGGGAGGCATGTGTGTGGGGGGGGGGGAAGCTGCACGCTGTCCTGGCGGGACTTGCCCAGGCTGTAGACGTGCAGCGTCACGGGGGCCTCGCGCCAAGGGAGCGGCGGGGCCGTGCAAGGGAGGAGGGGAGGAGGGGAGGAGGGGATGAGGAGAGGGAAAGGGGAAGGGGACGGGAGGGAGGCGAGAAGGGGGGAGGAGGGGAGGGGATGTAGGAGCCCATCCTCTACGCTGGGCTCCTCCCTCCCCTCCCCTCCTCCCACCTTCTCGCCTCCATCCCCTCCCCTTCCCCTTGGGCCATTGGGGAGGGGAGGCAGGAGGGAGGAGGCATTGAGGGAGGTGAGGAGGAGGCGGAAGGAAAGGGGGGGAATGGAGGAGCGTGGGGGGGGAGGGCATTGGGGACGAAGAGGCGGAGGAAGGGAGGAGAGGACTGGAGGAGGGACAAGAAGAGGCGGAGGTGGAGGAGCATGGCGGTCGCCGACGGTGCCAGCTGCGGTACGGGGGGGTGCTGCGACGGGGGGAGGAGGGATAGAGCTGAGTAAATACGGGGGAGACGAAGAGTGACGAGAAATAACTTGGAATGGGGGACCTGCACGGAGAGGAAGAAGGTGGGGGAGGCGGAGGCGTGAGACGTGGGCAGAACGATGATGACAGGGGGAGGAGGGTAGAGAAATAGGGCGGAGGGAGAAACACCTTATCTGTGTCGACTCCCTTGTGTTGCCACGCGATGGGTAGAGCAAAGCATGTGTTTTCAGCCTCTCTCTCTATATATATATATCGCTCTGTTTCCGAGATCACACTACGAAAACACATGTATATGACAAAAATGCTCCCATGGGGCGCACAGCGTGTACCGAACTATCGTGTTGAAAAAGCGGGGCGCGGGTTACACGCAAAGTCCAAACACAATGCGCGTACACATGCCAGAATGCTAAGATGGGGCGGGGTACACGCTAAGTGTGTGTGTGTGTGTGCGTGTGTGTGTGTGTGTGTGCGTGTTTGCGTGTGCGTGTGTGTGTGTGTGTTTCATGTTTTTTGTGTGTGAGGGGTGATTTCGCTAGAGGCGGCTCGGCACGAGTGCTTGGAAGGGCGTTTGGCGTGGCCTCGGTGGATCAGCAGTGACATCAACATCATCAGCATCGTCGTCATCATCATCATCACCAACATCATGACCGTAGCATCAAGACCGTGTTAATCATCAGCACCAAATCCTTTCCATCATCATAATCATCAACAACATCACTATCAGCATCACCACCATCACCAACACCATCACCATCCCCATCCTCATCCTCATCGTCATTATCACCAACACTAAACATCATCATCAACATCAGCGCCACTGCCGCCATCATCCGCATCATCATAATCACCATCATCAGCAACAGCAGCAACAGCATCATCAACACCATCTTAACAACGGCATCCTCATCGCTATTGCCCTCAGCAGTAATGTAATTGTTTTGGCTCGCGTCGCCGCCACGGGCAACTGGCGGTGCGGGGCCGCCGTTCTTTGGTCGTACAGGTTGGTTAGTTGGAACGTCCTCGACAGGGCTGGAGCTCTCCGAAGTCCCCTTGAAGCCCGTCATCGGCAATGCTGGAGAGTAGGGGGGTTTGAGAAGCTATTTCTCGCGATGAATTTATCCCCCGCAGGGGTGAACAAAAAAGGAGGGGATGGGTTCTCAGCTCGGAAATCCCAATACCCCTTTAACTTGCGACGTCGTAACCTGTTGCTCCCACCACGTCATTGTGACAAGAAATCTTGGCGAATCGCGCGTTGGTGCGGCAGGTATGGTACGGATAGCGTGCACCATCGTGGTCTCCTCCTGGATCGGTCCTGGGACGCGTGACCTATACATGTCAAGTCCCCCAAGAGGGGGTGCACGAAGGGGGCGCAGGACTTAACGTGAACCGTAGGGGATGGTATTCCCCTCTGGCAAGCACGCTAAATTGTGTACGCGCTATGCGGTTTGCTCGTGTAGCGCGTACCCAGGGCGCCCGACAGACGTGAACAATGCCATGCGAAATGATTGAGTCCAGCCCTCTCTGCATACATGCTTATTCTTTATGTACCTGTATGTATTTGCAGGTGTAAATGTAAGTATGCATGTATATGCAAATGTGTAAGTGTATACATATGTATATGTAAATGTATGCTTGTATACATATATGTGTATATACCTATATATATATATATATATCGATATATATATATATATATATATATAGATACCTCGCCCCCCTCCCCCCCGCAGCCCCACCCAATGTACTTTTTTAAATCATTCGTCAATCCTCTGTGTCTTTATCCTCTTCCTCTTCTTCTTACCATCGTCATCCTCTTTCTTCTCCCTCCTCCTTTCCTCCTCCTCTCTTTTTCTTGCCATGCACGTTCTCCTCCTTCTCCTCCTCCTCATCCCTCGGTTCCTTTGTCTTGTCGTTCCGCTTCGACCTCCTCTGCCTAATCGTACTCGCCATCACGACGGCTGTTATCAGCATCACCAACAGGCAAAGCAGCGCAGGCAGCCTTAAGAGTTGTGAGGGGGGCGGTAGTACTAGCTGTAGCAATCAGATGTGTAGCAAGAGTTGCATTGAGATCTGCCCTCCTTCCTGCTGTACGACTCGTGAGAATGGCTGGCAGATGATATGTCGCAGAAGATGCCTCAGGAGCCGTAGCGGCAGGTATAGTGGCTGAGCTTGGCGATCGTGGGTTCCATACTAGGAGCTGCCGTAATTTCTGTAGGAAGGGCCAATGCAAAACCCTTGGCGATAGCTGTTGTAGGACCTGTGGTATGCACTGCAAGAGGGTTGGACACTTGGTTGTGCGAAGGAATGCTGTACGACCTTGTAGAGGAACTGCCGTCGGGGGGGCAATCCTGAGCGCTGCGCTGGGCGGCCCACTAAAGTAAGACATCTGACGGGAGCTGCAGTCGATGCTGCGTTGCGGAAGTGCAATGGGATATGCATCAATCCCAGACCCCCTCGCGTTGTGACAAAAATCATGACTGGAGGCTTTTGGCCATTTTCGGCCTCCCGGGGCCCTCAGCGGGCCCCGGGACGGTCAACACACGACTCAGGATGAAACACCGGTCCCGGGAAAGGGGCCCAGACCTCTGGGGGTCGACGTTGTGGCACAAAACACGACGTCGGGGCCTGGGATATTTGTAGCAATCGCTAAAGAACTGTAGTGAGATCTGTACTACGGGCTACGCGAGTAACTGAACTCAGAACTGTAGAGGTAGGCGTAGTGTGAGTTGCATTGGCACATGCACTGCTGATGGCTGTTGGATTATCAGCAAGAGACATCCTAAGCACAGTGTGCAAACCTGTCCGACTGACTACCGTGAAAGATGCCGTACCAGCTGCATTCGGAAATGCGACCGGATGTGCAGCATGTTCTGTAGCAAGAGCTGCAACACAAATTGCAACGGGAATTGTATTGCGATCGGCTGTCATCGAAATCCTTGTATGAGGGATCCGTTGTAGGATTTGCAGTCGGAGCTGTGGTGGGGGGCTCGATAGGAGCAGGCGTGAGGGACAGTTGTAACTGGCTGTAGGAGGGGAAGCGCTACGACCTGTTAGACGGCTGTAGCAAAGGGGTGAGTCCATAATTCCAGCCAGTGTGAGCGGCCGAGCTGGCCGCGAGGGAATGGCAGAGAGACGCAGCCAGTGGCCCGAGCTGAGGGCGTGCTGCATGGGGCTTGGCGACGGTCAGCCCATTGCGTCCCCGCTGCACCACACGGGCGCCATGGGGCAGCATGCCTTTTGCCCCTCTCCCCCCCACGCTGTCACCCAGAGGTGCACGCCTCCGAGCGGGCTCCCGCCTGAAAGTCGAGGGCACGCGCGCCCTCCGCCTACCAGGCAGTGCCAGTCTCTGGGTCGAACACTTGTGGCGGGATGTAGCTCCTGTGGACCAAAGACCCTTCTACCCAGTGAAACCCGACGTCGCCGACTGCGGCGTGGTTCTCGAACAAGGCGAACAAGGGGGGTAGTACGTCTGATCCGACCACCGGTCTAGGTAGATATGCCCGTCCTCGCTCAGCGCCTCCGCAAGCTTTAGGACCGGCTCTGCCCTGAAGAAGTCCACCCTCGAACCTCCCCCAAAGAACCCACACACACCCTGAGAAGGGTTTTTTCTTTTCCTTCATGGCGGACGGCACGTCCTGCTCAGGGTTGCCGAGCTCGACCACCGTGCTCACGATGGCGACGTACTTGTCCTCTCGGGCGGGACAGCAGGGGGGGGTAGGTCTTCCTCGGGCCCTCTGGTCTCCAGAAGAAGTTGTCATGCGGGAGCAAACTATGCGACTAGTGGTAGTCTGAAATGGATGCATCCCAAAAGGCCTTCCGAGCAGGCCTGTTCCATCACCTCCTTCTGCGTCTGCCACTCTTCGCCACAACGCAGAATGGGCCCTCTGCGAGATCGCCAAGGAAGTTGAAGTCTGCATAGTAACTGTACTTATCCAAGGCCAGGTGCTCATACATCGCCTTGGTCAAGAATTTGCTCTAAGCTTGCAGCTCGTGCTTAGCCTTTGCGCAGGAATCCTGCCTGAGAGCCCAGGCACCATCGCGACTTCCAACCTTGGGGAACTTGAGATCGACAGGTACAATTTCCCCATGGGGCCTTTACCCCCACTCACGTCCTTGTGCGCGGGGCTGCCCATGCAGCTCCGCCAATGGTACTTGCGCAACTCTTCGCCCGGGATGAAACATCTTCACAGGGTATTGCCAACGCCTGAGGAAATAATACGGCAGAGGGAAACAATTAGTAGACACTCCACCACCCGCCAATAATTTGAAGTTGGCACCCGCGGGGCAGACTGCGGCCGAAGTGGAGGGGCACCGACACATGAATGTGGCACGACGGTTCGCCACGTTCTTCCGAGGCCTGTAGCGCAGCCTTGGCGCGCCCTCCGTGAGCCGGATCAAGGCACAGGGCCGGGCCACCAAGTACTTGATCGCTCGGTGCGCGAGGCTGGACCTGCCGTCGGCAAGGGGGGGCCGCACGGCTCCTCCGCCGAAGTGGCGACGCTGGCCTCCTCGAGGCCAGCCCTGTGCCGCGGAGGCTTGCCTGGAAACGTGCCGTCATCATCAT